TATGCACAAACAATGAATCATGGAACACTGCATCAAAAACTAATGATGTAATGTATGGTGATTAACATAACAATAAAAAATTATTTAAAAAACTAATGATATAATGTATGGTGATTAACATAACAATAAAAAATTATTTAAAAAAAAGAGAATACCAACAAAAGGTACTTAGTTGGCTCTCTCACACATATGGAAAATAATTTGGGACTCAACTGCAAATGGTTTTGGCTACTGGAATATCCTCATACTAATACTCTAATAAACCAATATTAACATATTATTACTGGAAATAAAAGTCCATCTGAGCCAACAACCACAACTATACTAGTAATGACAGCAACTAACATGCACTAAGTGTTAAGTACGTGCCAAGTACTATTTTCGAGTGACTTAGAGGTTTCAATTCATTTAATCTTTATATAAACCATAGAGTAACATCATATTTTATTTTATTTTTTTTAAAGATTTTATTTATTTATTTGAGAGAGAGAGAATGAGAGATAGAGAGCAGGAGAGGGAAGAGGGTCAGAGGGAGAAGCCGACTCCCTGCTGAGCAGGGAGCCCGATGTGGGACTCGATCCCAGGACTCCAGGATCATGACCCCAGCCAAAGGCAGTCGCTTAACCAACTGAGCCACCCAGGCGCCCATAACATCATATTTTAAAGATGAAGAAAATGAAACAAAGTTAAATAATTTGTTCAAGGTTCACAGCAAGTAACTGGCAGCCAGGATTCAAGTCCAAGTCTGGCCCCAAAACCCACTGTTAACCATCATGACATATTGCTTCTCTCTGCAAAACTAATAATAAAAGATATCCCTTTAATGGGATTCTCAAAATGGAACTTTTACTACCAGTAAAATAATTCTCTAAAACTAAAGACTAGCAAATTTAATTATTCCTTAGCTGAATGAAGAAAAAAAACCAACACTATACTTCTTAATATTTACATTTCAAAGTTCATTACAGAAAAACCCCCACACTTTATACATTAATATACATATATACTTACCTGGCAAAAACTTCAAAGTTTGCAGCATCTGTCTTTCCTGAGAAAAATCCACCATTAAATGAGTCATGTTGTCACTGACCTTTGGTTTCAAAGAAAGGCGAAAGGCTGAAGCCATTGTTACTCTACGGTAAACACAAATATACTTTTAAAAATAAAAGAATGGGGAGTATACCATATTTAATTTATAAATGAAAAGATAGAAGTCATTTCACTTTAGTGATTTCAGAAACTATAACAAAGGTAACAAAGCTAAAAAGAAATTTGTTCTCAGAGTGTTTTAAAAATTAACTAAAAAAACTGTAAAATGTTTTTAAATTTAGACATTTAATATATAACTTTAAGCAACTTTCCTCCAGGCAGTTTTATAAAATCACACACAAAAATATCACAAGAGAAAATATCCCATATAAACCATCGTTAACAGACCCAACAGGTATCTGAACCTCTGTACACTCAATCTCACTGACTTCCTGATGCCAACCTCACTCCTTTTCGTATGCCAAATAACGAACTGTATTAGTAGTCACAGCTACTCCACGTATCTTCAATTAAGAGTAAAAGTAGCCTGACCAAATATTGTACAGCCTGGTAGCTGCTAAAGATAGTGCATGGATGAGAAAGGAGAGAAGTGAAATCACTATTTTGAATACCATGCTAGTAGGTGTCACCCTGATATATCGACATCACCTACATGGAAGGATACAAGGAGAAACAGCCTTGTGAAACCATATGCCATGGAAATAATAGTTCAACAAATATTTAGTAGATGAATGTGGTATAAAAAACAACAAAAGGAAACCCCCCCCAAAAAAGAAAGAAGCCATACCAGACCTCATTTTACCCAAAGTATGGGGGAACTGTTCTGTCAATGAAAACTGGAGATTATAAGAAATTCTCATTTTCAAATAATTTGTCATTTTATCTCAAATTTCAATTTTTCATATTACAGTAAATTTCCACAAGTATCAAAAAGTAGCTTCCCTTAATATCTTTGGTCAAAGAATGATACAAAAGTACTACTCATGGATGTTGTCCTGCTAGTACACAATATGGGAGAAGCAGTAAATAGAGCTGAGGAACAAAGAGAATACCAGGCCTAGTCATTCAGATCTGCCAAATCTACCCAGGGATACGTGGTATGAAAGATATTAAACTTGTTGCTATATTCAGTTATTTTGGGATAAAAAACGTCAAACTGTTGTTGTATTCAGTTATTTTATTTCACTTTAAAACTAGGAAAGTAATCACTTTATTAATAACAATGAGTCAACAACAGCTGATCTACTAATCAAGAAGAACCTGCTACAGTGAAATACAACTTATGGGGACGTGAACTCACTGAATGCCAAGCATAATGCTGAATATTTCACACACATTACTTTAAGCTGTTCTCAATAATTAAATTTCAGATTATATCAATAAGAAGTTAGGAACAAAGGCTAAGTCTCACTTTGTTCTTTAAAGTCCCAAGTATCTTTCGATTTGAAGACTTCTTAAAGAGCTAGATTCAGAGAGGTACTTAGTAAATGACCATGGAACCAATGAATGGGTTTGAACCTACTTGGATGCTTCTAAACCTATTTAAATGTTTGTTGAGAACTGTTGGAAAAAATATCTGAAAGTGTTTCAGGGAATTTAAATCTGAAACTTTATCTATAAAACTTCATTTTAATCACTGTGGCCTCAAAGAAAAAGAATGTCCTCCAAAAGTGCATTAGAAAGGTCTAACAAAACCTAAAAAACAAGAATAATGACCTTTATTTTCTAGTCAATGAAAATTTCAGTCTCCATAAACCAACTTAGATGTACAACAATGCTGTAATCTTTCAAAAGGCTGAATTTTTTATTTTTAAACTGAATACATTTAGTTGCTTGTGCCTGAAAGCCCAAATCAACCTAAAATCCATAGATAATTCTCTAACATTACAGGATCCATATGGTTAAGATTGTTTTTATTCACCTTGACTTTCTTGGTTTATTTCCTATAGTACAGCTGAATACAAAGATCCTTTCCCCCTTAGTTTCCTCCTTACAAAGAAAAAATAACTGCAAAACATATGGATGAACACTTTCAATTTCCTCAGAGTATCTAACTTGACTCACCCTTTCATGACCCTTTTCTTTCAAGAACCGTAAGTCCACAACAAACCTCAACTAATCATCTTCCAACATTACTAAAAGCATCCGTAAGTACATACCAGTGATTTGTAAAGTTAAAGAGATCTGCTATTATCTTTTCATTGTAGTTGCTTAGTTTTTCCTGTCATTCCCACTGTTTTTCCTGCATAACTTCTATCACAACAAATGATAAATTTTCAGTTCTCACAGATGCTTTCATTTTTATATAATTGATTCCCCGCTCAGGTGTTACACACTCTTCCTTAAAATTCCACTTCTGCCCTCAATATAAGGGAATGATCCTTTCTTCCCTTAGTAAAAATTATTTTACTATGACTATATGTTTAAATTATTTTTATATCATAAATGGCAATGATGGAATTCTAGAAGACTGTTTCCTCATTGAGTATCTAAAATATTAATATATATGTAATATATATATATCAGAGAAACCTGGACATTCTGAAGTTAAAAATCAAGTTTAAAAAATTAAGCCAAGACACAGAAGTGTTCTTGAGCAGTAAGTAAAAATTTCATGGGTAGCCAAAATAAATAATGTATAAGTTTTTTTGGGGGGGGTTGCCCTGACAAAGAAAAGGAACCCTGACTCCTGCTATTACCTGGAAACTGACAAAATCAAGCCAAGAAATGGGCTTAGAAGAGGCAAAGAAGTCAAGCTTCACTGAAGCTTTGCGTTCAACCATGAAAATTCATCATTAAATTCTGACAAACAAATCTGGATAGAGAAGGATGTCAGGGGTAAGGGTAGGATTCTTGGAAGCACAGAACCATACAGATTCCTAGGAGAGGACAAGAGAAGATCTTGCAAGGGTCCTCGCAAAGTCCTTGGATAGGCCAAAGCCTGATTAGGAAATGACTTCTAATCCAGAAAATCAGAGACCATAGCAAGACTTAGTGGAGTAAGTGGCTAAACAGAAGAATAATCTAGCCACAGTGAAAGATGGATTACATGTAGCAAATTCCAGCAGATAACAACCCAATTATACCTTATCCAAAAAACTGACCTACCTACTAGCATCCACTCCTCATACAGCCAATACTTTTCACCTTCAAACTCTCATAATCACCTTTCTACATCTAGGACTGATAAGATGATCCATGTCTTTAACCACTCCCTGATATAAAATATACCCAAACTGAATAAAAATTAATTTTTGTGCTAAGAGTGCTATGAGTGCCATGTGAATCTTGGCTCCAGTCAAACAAGAGACCATCAGAAAAACCGAATTGAAGACTGCAGCCAAAATTAACAATAGACACACTGGTTTTCACACAATCTATGATGAATAATTTTGTGAATTATCTGATGAAGAATAAATAGTTTAATCTCGGATTCAGAGTGGTGCTTTGAAGAGCTATGCCTTTCAGAGAATCTCATAATCCTCAAAGGAAGAAACCTTAAGTGATAATCTCACTATAGTCGATGCTCAGTGATTAGTCAGAAACATCAAAACCATCCCCTCTGGGGTAACTCAATCCAGAACTGCCAGCAGCTCTTCTGGCCCTTTGGTGTTTTCATTAGAGCAAATACTAAATTACCTTTCTCAACCCTGGCTCTACCAATGAGAAAGACCTTTTAAGACAGTCTTTCATCATTTTCTTTCATTTTCTCTTCCCACACATCAGACAGCAGTGGCACGAGAAACAGAAGAGATGGCACCAGGAACAGGATGGAATGAGAATACAAAGGTGTTAAACAGGAGAGCAGTCAAACAGGGCAGCTTTAGCTCTTAAGGACTATTAAAAATGCTATGACTTCTCAGAAAATAAGACATACTTATAAAATTTGTGAACAACAAAAAAACACATTCCAGGAAATACATATTTTTTAATTATCCAAAATGGGTCTCCATCCATTCATAGCTAATTAAGAACTGTACTAAAACTAACTATATTATACCAGAAATGAAATTCTTTTGGAAGTACATAACTGTCCACAACTGTATTTTTAAAAAAATCTTGCTGATATATTGTCTATTCCAGAAGATATGCAAAAGAGATTTTCTTTTTTTGTACATGGCCATTAGGTATTTTTATTTTAACCAATGAAAGTCTAATAGGAAACTGTTCTCGAATTTCATTTCTGACTTCAATATTGATACTTATATAAAAACATAGGTTTTATACCATACCTATCCTTGATCTGTCTGGCAGCCTTGGAGCAAATCAGGGAGAAGAGAAAGAAGGCAGTTAGTGCTTTTCATGCAAGTTTCAATGGCAGTGACATGCAAGAAAAGTTAGGATATAAACCCTGGAATAGATTAGTTCACAGTCACCAAAACATGAATTACAGGAAATCTGTACAATTCACATCAGCTTACATAATGTGATGTTAGAACTATAGTTAAAAAAAAAAAAAAATCCAGACCCCATATAAATCACCTTAAAAGGAGGAAAACTGAACACTTCAAACTAATTCCAGATGACTATACACATTTTTCCTTACCTTAAGATCATCAAAATACACCTCCACTTCCAATTCAGTCTGACACTCAACTAGAACAATCAATCTCCTTCATGGGGCACACATTTCTATGCAATCTAATGGTTTTCTTACACATTTTAAATCTGCTCTCCAATTTTTCTTCAATGATCTCTTTCACCACTTCATCATGGTTGTTCCAAGTTTTCTCTATATGCCTTCCCTGGGCAAAGACTTTACATTTTTGAGAGCTTGCCTGGTAACCTATAAAACTGGGCTGCAGTTCTTCAATCATTTACCCCGAAGAATAAAGTTATAATGACAAAAATTCAGACAAGAAGAAACCAGAGAAATACTTCTGGCAATAAGGTCTTTCCCTGAGATGACTTCACAGAAGCTGCTAACTTAAACCAACTCGGCATGAGATATTTTTTTTTTTTTTTTTTGAGAATGCTAGCAGAAGTTTAGGAAAGGGCATAGTTATCACTTGGTGCTGTACAGTATACAGAAAAACGAAAAATACACACAAAACCGTTGTCCCCTTCACATTTATATATAATATATTCAACAAAAGCTTTTTTCCCCCAAACTAACCACCATAATTAACAACGCATCTAACGTAAACCATGGCTGTTTTCCTCTACGCTCTATCCTAGGCCTAGTATAAACCTTGGCACATGGTAATATTAATAATTATTAAATTTAACAATGTTTCTATTGCCTCTCTTCTTCAGTTCTAATCTTGTTATTTGGTATTGGTCATTTTTATACCCATCCTAAAATATTCTGATCTGAGGACCTTTCTACACATAAAAACAGAACTGACATCATGTTTCATCATGTGATCAGCATATGACACATTTCCAACACTACCATAATCCAATTGTGAGACCCGTATACTAATCATTCTCTTTCCTTTATTAAGAAATTTTAGTCCTTACTGTTTCTACAGATCCTTTCCAAGCTCCACATTCTACAGCAAACAACCCAATTTGGTGGCATTAATATGTGTCTTAAGTCATAACACTACTTTGGTACTAGGAATAAGAAATGTTAGGAAAGTCAATTACACTCATTTTAAAAAATTATTGTCATTACAGCTAGAATTACAACCAAAGGCTTTTAATATAAATGTCAGGAGAGAGAAAAAGGAGACTCCTCTGCTCTTGGTGTTTCTTTACATATGGAGAAGTGCCACTAGCATTACTCCTTTGGCCTCTCTCTATTCCTTCATTTCTCTGGGTGAGGTGAAAGGACTTAATCTGATTATGATTATTTCTAGTAGCTCAGCTATTTTTCCCTCTTTCCTGCAGCTTGCTTGTCTACAGAGAACATATATTCTGTTCTTTCCCTCTAAGTTGGAAGTTTCACAGGAACAGGCTCTCACACACATACACAGAGCTGACGTACCCTTGTATTGACCACACCTAAGTGGGCAAGTCTGACTAACTCTAGGATTAATATTAGAACACTTGCCCATTGATATAAGCTAAATTCTCCAATATCATTTGATTGGTATTTGGCCTCTTATCAGCTTTATTGCTTTATCTTATTTCCCAACTGGTTTAGAACTTGGTTAGAAGAATGTTACTTACCACTCTCAAAGAACCCAACAATATGAAGACCATAACTTTTTTTTTTAACAGAGATTTTCTTTCATCTTTCAAGAACATTATACACTATATATGTTTAATTTCCTTACAACAATTTTTTTAATCTCTACACCCGAAGTGGGGCTCAAACTCACCACCCTGAGATTAAGAATCACATGCTCTACTGACTGAGCCAGCCAGGCACCCCCAATACTGTCTTTTAAACTGACCATAATGATTCAATTTTGTGTCTAGTATTACTTAACTTAGTAAGGTGCCATTCTTTAGTGTGTCTGTGTACAAGTGTGCACATGTGCACATGCATGTAAAGCTTTCTTGTTATCATTTAATGTACTAGGCTGCTTGTGACAAACCAGAAAAGGAACAGATGAAAAGCCAAATAATGTTGGAAAAATTGTTGTCTTGTGCATTTATATATAAACATACCCAGGTGATCAAACTGAAGACTCAGTGGTTCCTCTTTCATTTAGGTTCGAATTTAACAGTATATACACTGTGTAAATGCAGAAGGGGTTGAAAAAGTTATTCTGTGCAATGATAAAAGGGTAGAAAGTCTCAAATTCTGAAGATACTTCTCTAAAAGGGGCCAATTTTAAGAAACATCTTAAATTGGAAAATAAGTTGTTTAATTTGTTTCTGGAATTTCTTCTCCCAAAGTAGAAATCTATCCAAAAGATACACATTACTGTATTGCTTGATTCCTCTAAGTTTTAATTTCAAGAGTGATGCATTTTGTCAATTAAACATCTCTGCTTACCAAGTACCAAATGATTCCAGAATTTACCACTGCTCTATCTCTAACATATTTATCTGCATCTATATAATTCCACTTAGTGAGTTATGAACAGGTATCAGTTGAATCTTTAGATTTTGGGGTAATGCTACTGTATATTATTTGAAAGCCTTCAAGAAACATTAGCTATATTACCTTGTTTAATATCACTATTTTCAATTTCAATTTTAATCACTATTTCTATTTCAATCTTCTTCTGAAATCTTGTTTGCCAACACTTCATTTCTCTTTATTCAGAGATGGCTTCTTTCTCTCTCATTCCCTTCCTCCATCTCTCAATAAATGTTTTCAAAATAAATCTTACAATTCTGATCCTTTATCAGTTTTAGGAATCTGTCACCTCAGACCAAACTTCCTTAAAAAGACCTGTAATAACAGTACAAGTGGGAGTAATCACAAATAGTTCATAATTACCAATAAAGAATTTAAACCAGATCTTTTCCCAATCTCTCTTGTTTTTAATCTGCTCTAAGTAGATATAGAAACTATTATCTTCCATGAATTTAGCAAGCACTCTAAAGGTTAAGATCTTATTGTTTTTATATTTCTTCTTGATATCATCATTTTTCTCCTTTTATAGAAAGATGTTAGATGCAAAGTACCTTAAAATAACTCTACTGTGGAGCAGCTAACCGAATAGTATTTTCTAAATAGTTAAAATGGGAATAATAATAAAATAAAGAAGTTTTAGATCTTGCTTATTATACTCAATGAATCATTTACCCAAAAAAAAAACAAAATTTGAGATTTCCAAATTTCTTCCCAAAGCAAAAGTTCTAAAACTCCTCAGCAAAAAATAAGGAGCATTAGACCAAGGCTTAAGAGATCTGAGTTTCATACGACACTAACCAGCAAGTCACTTAACTCTTCTAGGATTCAGTTATCTCATCTATAAAGTGATGAGCACTAAAGTATCTTCAAACTCTAAAAGTCCATCCTAAGCCATCTTATTTGCACACAGCAACTTTTAAAATTTATCCAAAAGAAATTAAGCATTTTAACAATCTAACTCTCTGAAATATAGGCTGAAATGAAGAGGCCGCAAGGGAAAAGTTAGTTAAAATCAGAGCATTAATAAAATGCAAGAAAAATAATAAAGTCGACCCTTGAACAACACAGGTTTGAACAACATGGGTCCACCTATATGCCCAGGATTTTTACAGCACAGTGTTGTAAATGTATTTTCTTTTCCTTATGATTTTCTTAGTAATATTTTCTTTTCTCTAGCTTTAAGAATGCAGCATATAATACATATAACACAAAATATGCGTTTATCGACTATGTTATAGGTAAGTCTTCTCGTCGACAGTAGGCTATGAATAGTTAAGTTTTGGGTGAGTCAAAAGTCACACATGGATTTTAAACTACATGGAGGTCAGTGCGCATAATCCCCATGTTGTTTAAGGGCCAACTGTATATCTGTTTCTGAATAACAACAGAGAAAAAAACACTCACACTGTCAAAATGATGAATCTAGCAAAAACTAGATTTCAAAATTGGCATTTGCCTGACAGAATTTGTCTTTATTTTGATTTGTAGTTAAGCCCAATACAGTTCCTACTAACACTCTGAATGCCACACAACACTGAGAAACTTTTCAAGTCTTGTCTGTATGTTCACATAGTTTTATACTTCAGATTTTCCTACTAGATTTGGGATAGAAATTTTTGTAATGTTTCCTTGAGACAAACTGAAAATGACTAAGGGGCAAACATACAATACTTTCCCAGTATTTTTTACAATACATAATTGAGACTCCTACCCTCACCCCCAAGATACCATATTAAGGAATGACTTGGGAAATGAAAAGGACTCAGTAAGAGAAAGTGAAAAAGAGATAGCTTCAAAATGCTATTTTTCTTTTGGCAAAAATACCAGCTTTAAAAAAAAACAAAACACTGCAAAGCAGTTGATTCCATATATTAAAAGTTTTTTATTTTCTATATATTTACCTGTTTATATAAAGAACTACTTTTCAAAAAATAAGATTTTAGTCTTCAGAAAGCTATAGTAAATAACTTGAAATAAATTTTGAATACAGTACTCCATACATCTATTCTATGACTAAGCATATTTATATAATAGGAAACTATATTTCTGTAAGACATAAACACCCACAAATGAAATAAAGGTGAAAAATTAATCTGGGCTATTCTTAACAAATATTTACATTTGCTTTTAAACTACCTTCATAACTGAAACATGCATGCTTTCAGTGAAGGTCCTCTCCTCTCTCAGCATTCCTGACTTCAACCCATAGAAAGCACTTCTGCCAACACTTCTTCCCTTGAAAACATAGTGAGCTTCTACCCCTCGTCTGCTCCTCCCTCCCAGTGGTCAGAGGATGACATGACTGGACAATATGCCAGTGGTGAGTGACTGTGAATCTGAAGTGGGAAATACACAAAACCCATTCTCCCTTTTCATTTGTGATCAAGTCAGAAGACACTGTTCCCCTTTCACCCCACTCTGTACTTTTTATTCCACTGAAGACTCCATGTACAGGTAACCATTCACTCCCTTCTAGTCTGACAATTGGGTGATGTGTGGCAAGACAGTGAGGAAGTGGATGCTTAGTGACTTGGAAATTGCCCCACAGACTCAGCTCTTTTCCTAAGTAGAATTCAAGTTCTAAATTCAGGGGTGGGAGAATAGAAATATTAATTTTGTCAAACGATCCAAGCAATGCTCTGCAGGCCAGTTATTAGCAGAGAAGCCAGGTTTGGTGGGGTTTTGGCTACTTGTCCATCCAGAAATAAAGCAAATGATCCAAATTTCATATGCTGGTGATCCTTCTTCAAATATTTACTATCAACCAAACTTCTAACAATTAAAAAAAATAGTGAAAATAAAACCAATTTGTAATGCCAAATTTTAAAAAATTAGTGAAAGTATGTTCCAAAATCCTTCCCCATCTGTGCCATTTTTACTTATTCATTTTCAGATTGTCTAATGCTAGTAAACAGCACAGCTTCATATTCAATTCTCATGCTGAGGTACTGCAACGTGATCATTTAAATATCAGTACTTACTCTTTTTGAAGATAATGAAGTCTAAAAAGACTCATGAACTGGATTTTAGCCTATGCTTTTTCTGTGCCCATGAACTATTCATATTAATCTGATTTAATCACTTTAATATGGGATATTCATAAACAGTACACCTTAAAAAAATTTTTTTCCAAATATCTAACAATATACTAGATAATTATTCTTCAAATTCCAATAATTAATCTTCAAAGTCATCTTCCCTATTCTGTCAGCAATTTGGTCTTTGAGGCAAGCCTATAGTCCATGCACCTGGCGAAGCAAGGGAACTTGGTTTTTGACTTGGAATCAAACCATTATTTGGATACTGTGTGGATGTACTAAGAAAATAACTGTAAACAACCCCCAGTTAAGCATTTTTCTTGAACAATAAACTCCAATTTCTAGTTAGGTAACACTGACAAATAATTATTTCACCACATTTCCAAATGGTTTAAGCTATTAAGCAGTACTGCAAAATGCTGGAAAACCAAAAATATAAAATAAGAAGCAACATGGAACATTGAGAAAATATGTTTAAACCACAATGTAATTTATTTTATCAGAACCTTTCCAATTTACAATCAGCTGGGGAAAAGTTTTAACAAAGCGGGAAAGGACAAAAGAAAGAGAGAAAACGGTAGCCTTTGAGAGGAAGGGGAGAGGTCTGAAAATAATAGAAAGGGAAACTTGGGAGAAACAAACTTGATCAGTTTTTCCGAGCATCAATCCCTACTTAAATGCAACTGGATTCAAGTTGTTTTTGAGTACTTCTGTCCATGTTTTATGGTTTTCCTGTCTTCTTCCTCACTCTCAGGCTCTCAGCAGTTAATTCTTGCTACTGTGATTATGCCTGTCATTAACAGCTGCCCCACTCCACTAGAAGGGGACTCTGTTAATGACAAGGAAACTGAAGAAAAAACTAAAAATTTAGTAGCACCATGTATATAATAGTCACTAGATTCTGAGAAACTATCATGAAAAAAGAACATGAATTCCTGCCCATGAACTCTATGGCGCTAATTTTGATGACTCAGATATTTTTTTACTTTCTCTGTTTTTTTGGCTATGTTCCAGATATTTGAGGTTATCCCATAAAAGTCCTCTGAATAGGTGATGGATATCTATCTTCTAAATTACTTAAAGTATGATACATTTTCCTCATAATTCCTATATATAGCAAGTCCTACCAAGTGCAAAGATGAACCTACTTACAATCTACCTCTAAATTCAAGGATTAATTAGTTCACGGATTTGTAGCAAAAGAACTTTTGTTTTGATTCATTTCATTAAAAGGAACCAATTTTTAAAATTCATTTTCAGAATGTAGGGATGTAAGCCACCAAATGTTATCTTCTCCAGGAAGATTTTTCTACCTTCAAGTTCACAGAAAAATCATGAAATTAAAGTATTAGATGAACACAAATGGATTATAAAGCCACCTTTCTAACACTAATGAAGTTCACTACACAGTCCACAAAGACCAAGAAATTAATATCAGACTCAAATATCTTATCTTGCTAAGATTACTACACAGTATATATTTTCCTAATTATATAGCTCAAGCTGCCACTTCTCTCAAACCATTTTTTAATATATTCTACATCAAATAGAGATTTGATTTCATAATTTGGTAATCATTTAAAAATGACTCTAGTTAAAATAAAAATTAGAATCTAGAATTCAGAATCTCTTAAATACCAGGATTTAGCTTAAAACATTACCAGTCTTATTATTCTACTTTTTATACTTCATACCAAACATACCCTTCAAATAAGAACCTACATTTTCATATTTTAGTAAAACATTCAAACAATTACACTAAACAGTGGGACATTTAATAATAAATTTAATAGCAAACTTCACTAGGTTACAGTGCTCATAAGCCATCAAGTGATGTTTTCCCAATCAGCTCAAAGAAGGAAAGAATACAAAACTAGATTTTTAAGAATGTTAATAGCAATTATTAATCTTCTTTCCTTAGTCATGAAATATTTATAACAGAGGTATGGCTCAGCTAAAATACACAAGTACCCTTAAAATAAATGACCAATAGGGATGTAACTGAAAAGGAAAATAACTTGATTCATCTGAATAAAGCATTAAAGAGAAATTAAATAACTTGTTCATGACCCTAAAGACACATACATCCAGGTGTCCACTTTGTAATAAATGAATAGACAGCATTTTACTTAAGAAATACGAAGACTTTTTTTTATTAGAAATGACTTAATAAATCCAAAATTGAAAGGGAAAACATCATTTTTTAAAATAAAGCTCTCCTATTTAAGTGGTTAGTTCAGGTTTTTTGGCTGGCTTTTTTATACCTTTGAAAATTCTTCAGGTTCCTTTATATCTAGTGACCGTGTTGCAAATTCTAGTAGTTCTTCCGAGTTCTCCAAGGCATTATTACATTGAGTGAGCTGACTCTAAAAAACAATAATAAATCTTTAAAATAAAATTTCCTATTTCCATGAGAACCTTAAATATATACTGTTATAATGAACTTACAATTTTAATAGCAAAAATTGAACAAAAAATATTTTAGGGAGCTATTAAAGTAACATATTCACTAGTCATATATGTAACAAATTTTAACTGTCCTTTATATTGTACTTAACATCTTTCCATAATTTGTCCAAAATAGCTTAATTGCATACAGATACAGATACAGTCATCATTTAAAAACACAACGCAAAATAAAGCAATTATAAATAGTTCAGGTCAAATTTACTTAAAGATTTTTCTCAATCAGGGCTATCAGAAATCCATCAACAATTTATTTTTTTTAACTATCAACAATTTAAATTAAAATATCAAAATAATCCACCTGCAGACAACATCCTCTATAAATGAAGATTAGGTTTCTTGATGATACTTCACAATTTAAACGAAAGTTTATGAATCAAGTTACAGGTACATACAGTTGAACACAATTTTAGTACTCCATTCATCATATTACTCAAGTAATACATACTACCATAAATGCTAATTTATAGTTTCCAAAATTGGATAACATAGGAATCACAAATGCAAGTGCCAAGATTTCAAAAAGAATAAAGAGGAACAAAAGATAGTAACTGTTACAGTGATGGGCCCTGTTATAGTAATGTATTAATTTCATGTACCAGTCGTCTTTCCTATTCAGTTATCTGTCACTCTATCATCTGTGGTCTAAAATTAAGCCCAGTCATGCAAAAATATTGTTAGTGATACCTTTAAACATAGAACATCTATTTCTAAGTTTTTTAATGTACCCAAGGTTCTTCTTCAGAATATTAATATCTATTTACTACTATCTATTCCATATTCAAATCTACTTAGGTATCCCTTAAGATCAGCAGTAAGGATAAATTATGGCTCATTTTATTGGTTTCTGGATGTGTTATATCTCTGGAAAAGGAGAACAGTTTTGCCATATTTTGGGTTAAAATAGGTTTTCATGTGTTATTCTAAGAACCTAACCACAATTTCCTAAAAATACTACTATTCCTAGTATTCCTCTTATGAGTTCCAAAGAATAATTAACAAACCACTATTTGAAATACCCCATTTGTATAAGAGCTTTATGAAAAGTTTAAGCAAAATCACTGAGAACAAAATGGTAGCTACAAATGGTCTACAGAGGATCACTAGGGGAGACTAAGTTAATGTAGTATATTAAAGTAAAAAATAACAAAAAAATAAGCAATATATCTCAAAAAACTATTAAAGTGAAAGAATCCAATCTGAGGTCAAAGTTTAAGATAAAATATCTTATTCTAAGAAAATGCTACGGGCGCATCTGGTGGCTCAGCTGGTTTACCATCTGCCTTTGGCTGAGGTCATGATCTCAGGATCCTGGGATCGAACCCCATATGGGGCTCCCTGCTCAACGGGGAGTCTGCTTCTCCCTCTCCCTCTGTCCCTCCCCCTGTGGGTATGCTCTCTCTCTCTCTCTCTCTCTCAAATAAAATCTTTAAAAAAGAAAAAAAAGAAAGAAAATGCTATGAATCTGCTTTCAAGTCAAGAGGAAAAGTTTAAAAAAAGGATATAAAGGAATACAATTTAAAGAGCAGTAACTTGTCAGTTATTTAGAGTGATAAAATTTTAATGAAAACAACATGCTATCAAGTTTTTGAACCCAAAAGAACAGAGATGTTCTACTGTCTCCAACTAAAGAAAGAAATGGCATTGGTAGCAAAGTTGTGATTCTTTTTAATATTTGGTTTTTAAACTATCCCAAAAAAGCTTTATGGTTTGAATTACCATTAGGCTGATACCATCCTAGGTTTTCCTTTGAATCATAACACAACAATGAAGTTATGTTCACTAAGCTTATATTTCAACAACTCAGTCTTACTTTGCAGCCTACTGTCATCTCAATAACGCTTCATCTCCCCTAGATCACTATTCCTATGAAAAAAAATTGCCAAAATTTTTGTGGCATTGAGAGGCAAGTATTAAGAGTTATAAAGGATAATTAGATATACAATAAAAAAAAAGGAAAAAAGAAAACAGTGGAATCACTGGAAAAAATGAAGATCTCAAATGATGATACAGGAAGAGAAGATGGTCCTAACATCTTTGCAGGCACCACTTACAAACAGTATCATCTTATACCCATTAAGATGGCTACTACCAAAATATTTAAAAATATGGATGAATGGGTGATGGTGGTCAAGAGGTACAAATTTCCAGTTATAAAATAAGTCCTAGGGACGTAATGTACAGCATGGTGAAAAGAATTAATACTATACTGTATATATTTTTTATTTTTTATTTTTTTTAAAGATTTTATTTATTTATTTGAGAGAGAGAGAGAATGAGAGAGAGAGAGCACATGAGAAGGGGGAGGGTCAGAGGGAGAAGCAGACTCCCTGCCAAGCAGGGAGCCCGATGCGGGACTTGATCCAGGGACTCCAAGATCATGACCTGAGCCAAAGGCAGCCGCCCAACCAACTGAGCCACCCAGGCGCCCCTGTATATATTTTTTAAAGTAAGCTGTAGGCCCATTGTGGGGCTTGAGCTCAAGACCCCAAGTTCAAAGAGTCGAATGCTCTACCAACTGAGCCAGCCAGGTGCTCCTACTGTACTGTATATTTAAACATTGCTAAGAAAGTAGAACTTAACTTATCAAACTCCACACCCAAAATACAAATGATCCAGTCAAGAAATGGGCAGAAGACATGAACAGACACTTCTCCAAAGAAGACATACAAATGGCCAACAGAAACATGAAAAAATGCTCAACACCACTCAGCATTGGGGAAATGCAAATCAAAACCACAATGAGATACCACCTCACACCACTCAGAATGGCTAAAATTAACAACTCAGCAAACAACAGATGTTGGCAAGGATGTGTAGAAAGGGGAACCCTCTTACACTGTTGGTGGGAATGCAAACTGGTGCAGCCACTCTGGAAAACAGTATGGAGGTTCCTCAAAAAGTTAAAAATAGAACTACCCTATGACCCAGCAATTGCACTATTGGTATTTATCCAAAGGGTACAAACATAGTAATTCGAAGGGGCCCGTGCACCCCAATGTTTATAGCATCAATGTCCACAACAGCCAAACTATGGAAAGAGCCCAGATTTCCATTGACAGATGAGTGGATAAAAAAGATGTGGAATATTACTCAGCCATCAAAAACAATGAAACCCTGCCATTTGCAATGATGTGGATGGAACCAGAGGGTATTATGCTGAGCAAAATAAGTCAGTCAGAGAAAGACAAATACCATATGATTTTACTCATATGTGGAATTTAAGAAACAAAACAGATGAACATAGGGGAAAGGAAGGGAAAATAAAATAAGATGAAAATTGAGAGGGAGGCAAACCATAAGGGACTCTTAACTATATGAAACAAACTGAGAGTTGCTGAAGGGGAGGTGAGTGGGGGAAAGGGATAATCAGGTGATGGGCATTAAGGAGGGCACCTGATGTAACGAGCACTGGGTGTTATCCGCAACTGATGAAAAAAATATATGACAAACAATTTAAAGCAATAATTTGTGAACAGCCTCAGAAAAAAAGAGTAGATCTTAAAAGTTCTCATCACAAGAAAAAAACGTGTAACTATGTGTGGCAATGGATGTCAACTAGACTTACTCTGGTGGTCATTTTGCAATATGTATAAAAACTAAAATATTACATTGTACATCTAAAACTGACATAATGTTATAGGTCACATCTCAGTTTATTTTTTTTTTAAGATTTTATTTATTTATTTGAGAGAGAATGAAAGCGAGAGAGATCACAGGAGGGAGAAGGAGAAGCAGACTCACCGCTGAGTGGAGAGCCTGATGCGGAGCTCAACCCCAGAACCCTGAGACCACGACCTGAGCCATAATACTGAATAATTCCACTTATATGAGGTATTTGGAATAATCAAAATCATGGAAACACATTGGTGTTTGCCAGGTGTGGGGTAAGGGGCAAAGACGAAGTTGTTGTTCAATGGGTATAGAGTTTCAGTTTTAAAAGATAAAAAGTTCTAGAGATCTGTTACACAAAAATGTTAACAGAGTTAACACTACTGAACTGCACATTTAAAAATGGTTATAAGGGTAAATCTTGGGTTTTTATCACAATTAAGAAAAAAAAAGATATCTATAACCAAAACAAATAATCATTTTTCTAGAAGATAAAAGTAGTTATTCACAGAAATTCACTGATTTTTGCTGTCAATAAGTCAAGTATTAAATAGACTAAAATTATTCATATTTAAATATGTTAAACGATCTCACCTGTAACTCTTGTGACTTACGAGCTTGTTCCTGCTTGATACTGTTAATCATACTTTCTTTCACCTCATCCAAAATAGAATATAAACTATCAAATTCTTCATCTAACTCCGAAAGTATGTTAGAAGAATTCTCCTGTTTAAGAAACAAAACAATGATTTTACTGAAGCTGTCAAACCCTGGAAAACTGAAAGATATGCTTAGCAAAGAAGAAAACAGATTCACAGTATAAACTACCTCAGGCTAAAATCATATAAACAACAAAATTCTAGTATGTGACAAAGGCTTTAAAAACAGGTAAACCCTAGAAGCTGGCTGCTAATGCTGACAAGCACTATCTCAGTTATGCTATGAGTTAAGCAGCTTTTTATGGACTAGCCCATATTCTTTTCACCTTTTGGAACACTGTTTCCACAAGACAACGTGAAAGGTTGTTTTACGGTTGCCAACTTGTCCAGACCTTCAGGTTCCAAGGCAGACCCTAAACCAGTGGTTCGTGACCCTTGTTGTGCATCAGAATCAACGATGGTGCATTTTAATAAAGTATTCCAGGTATTTTGATTCCATAACTGAAGAATAGTGTGCACATACAGGGACGGGGCTAATTTTGTGAAATCTTAAAATCTTTCAGGTTGTCTAAAACAGTGCATTTACACAAGATATACAGAACTTAAAAGACCAAACAATTCCTTACTGGACCTAAGAGATTTATCAAACACTGAATTTTAGTGCTCGAAAGAACCTCAGAAGTCATCTACTGACTAGAATTTGTAGTCAAACTCCTAAATTTTAGGAGTTAAAATACAGAAAGGTGACTTGCCCAAAGCCACAAAACTAGTTACCGGAGTTAGAATCAATAAAGCATTTCAAGCCTGCTGACTTCCCAGAGTTCCTCACTGCCTCAATTAAGCAAGATGCTGGTATTTCAACAATAACTTAAAATATGTGTGAAATCTCTAGATAAGCAATATCCACACTTGCAGCAATTATGACACAGAAGAAATTATGTTAGGCATTTTTCAATTTAGATGAATCATTCAATTCAGAGAATTGGCACTGGTTAAGAGAACTAATATGTACAATCTACTGTAATAACATAAACCAATCTTTTGCTTATAATTTTTTAAAAACACTTTGAAAGAGAGAGATACAGTGAGAGAGGGAACAAGCAGGGGAGTGGGAGAGGGAGAAGCAGACTCTCCAGAAGAGTAGGGAGCCCGATGTGGGGCTCGATCCCAGAACCCTGGGATCATGACCTGAGCCAAAGGCAGAAGCTTAACGACTGAGCCACCCAGGTGTCCCTTTCGCTTATAATTTTTATAAAAGCCAGACATCACCTCACTGGAGTCTTACCAAAAGTGGTGTTAATCATTTTACTAACTGACTTGCAGTGATAAAGAAATGTGCAGTCTGGTAGGCAAAGGACCTAAGTCAAATCTCACATTAACCACTTAGTAACAGTGTGACCTCGGACAAGCCACTTAAATTCCTGGACCTCAGGTTACTCATCAGTAAAAAGAGAATGGACTACTCAAACCAATGGGCACATCCTTACAATCTCTTGCGTACTACCTCTTATGCTCCCATCTCCAGGGACAAGAATAAGAATGTAGCTAAATTCCCCCTCTATTTTTTTTCTGGATTCTAAGGTAGAATACTAATAATTTATTAACCAGAAAAATAGTTTGGGCTAGCTCACAGTCTCTTTTTTCAGATGTCAAATGTGATGATTCTCTTATATATAGATCAAGAGCCTTAGGACAACTAGCTTTGTTTATTTAAAGACATGGATTCATAGATTCACCAAATTTTCCAGTAAAATAGTTTGGGAAAGACAGTTAAAGTGGTGAAGATCTTAATCAACTAATCAATTACAACAAATTCAGAAGTAAAGGAAATACAAGGACCATAAGGTTTAACAGGCCAAGACCCAGGCAATAACCTAGGTTCAAACAAAAACCACAGAAAAGGATTTACTGTCAACAAGTGTCCTATAAATCTTGTTTACTTCACCAAAAAATGACCATTAAATTCACTAAGGCATGTTCATCAACATTTGATTACATACAGTATGGATTATCTCCCCAAACCTGGGACCATTTCCTTAAGTATTCCTCTTTCTCATTAGGGCACTTTATTTTTTACTTTCTTCCAGTTCTATAAGCAGACCTCTTACCATCCACATTTTCTTTCCACTATTTATTGTAAAAGAAATGGTTAACTTCCCAGTACTCTAAAAAATATAATTTGTTCTTAATTGGAATTACAAAAGACAAATCTATAATGGAAAGGGTCAAAAGTGAGCACTATAATATTCCCTACCAACTACTATTGCAGTCTTCTTCTTTCTTTACTATTTGACTTTCCATTGACAGTACAGAAATAGTAAGGAAAACATTTTTATTTATCTACCTTTTAAAAACCGTACTCTTGAGGCGGGCGCCTGGATGGCTGTTGGTTAAGTGTCTGCCTTTGGCTCAGATCACGATCCCAGGATCCTGGGATCCAGCTCCGCATCAGATTCCCTTCTCAGCCAGAAGTCTGCTTCTCCCTCTCCCTCTGTCCTTCCCCTCTACTTGTGCGTGCACGCTCTCTCTCTCTCTCTCTCAAATAAAATCTTAAAAAAAAAAAAAAGCACATGCATTTAAATAAATAAATAAAAACCTTACTCTCACCTCCTTATTTTATAATCTAGAGTTGATGTAGTATATTTATACTTCTGATTTGGCCCAACAATCACTCATTGTGACATATTACACAAACATTTTTAAAAAGATTAATACCTGAACTCCTTTTAGTGTTTGATTTAGTGTATCAATAAAGTTCTGAATTTCGTCATTTTTATTTGCCAGGGTTGAAATGATCCTCTGTAGAGCTTCCTAGGATTAAAACAAGAAAAACACTTAGCATTATGATATTTTAATAAGAGAATTATAAACCATAACAATTCTCTAAACAAACCATATAAGAGGAGAAATGTAAAGCTTCTCATTGTTAAATTTCCAAAGGCCTATAATTACAAAAGATGGGGTATGTATCTGTACTGTTTTACAACCTCTTTTTCCTAGGGTACAATTTAATCACCACCATACCTTTTGTACTGAAGATGATCAATATTATTTAATACTAATAGTATTATTTTAGGTCATAGGGCCAGGGCCAAGGAATAAAACCAAATCCTTAAATGCTGCAAAAACAAATGGAACTTTCTAATATATTAGGCTATAAGGAAGAAAAACAAAGAGGCAGTAAAAGTTGACATTTTATTTATAAAAATAAAAAACACTTTAGAAATATGAAAGTAGATAATAAATCTGTAGCTAAAATTATAATATTCATTGCAATATTTACAGATTCTGTAAAACCATAATAAATAAGTTAAGTAATTTTTGTAGCAAATACCTCAGACTTTTTTGATAGTGCTTCCTATTTAAATAAAACACTTGGTTATTTAATCTTCCCATACTCTCTAGCTCAGTGCTGTACAATAAAATTTTCTGCTATGATGGATATATCCTATATAGGCTGTCCAAAATGGTAGTCAATAGCTATATGAAGCTAATGAGCTCTTGAAATGTAGACAGAACTGAGGAACTGAGTTTATTGTTTTTAACTTTAATTATTTTCACTTTTTAGAGCCACATGTGGGACAAGTACTGTCATATTGGACAGCATAGGTCTAGTTGTTCAGTAACTCTTAATGGGTAGTAATAGCAAAATCCATACAAGGTACTTGTATTCTCAGTAAAAATCAAATGCAAGTACTTGTACTTTATAATTTTCCCAGAAGCACAAGCCTTGTTTCTATAAGCACTTACAAGTGTAAATATTTTAATAATGTCCTATAAGATTTTGTGATAAAGGTTCTCCTCAAAATATAATCGGACATTGATAAACAGCTATATATAAAGAGCTCAGGAAATAAACTGATAAAGGGATAATATTTTAATAAATGTTCATAAGGCATTATAGTAGTAAAAAATTAAAAATAATCACAACAGTTCTCATTTAATTCTCACAAGAATCCCTGGAGATAAGGAGGTATTATCATCATCCCTGAGGCTGCCTAGGGCTCTCTGCTGTATTCACTTACCCATACTATTTCTTCCCATCCTCACCACTGGTGGTATTTTAGTATAATAATACAATGAAATTATGCTATGAAAGAAGATTAACACCAAGAGTTAGCTGTTTATCCTGTTGGTGTTCCTCCCAGAAACAGGTGCACCAAGATTTGAATACAAAGACAACCAGCAGAGGGGCAGAATGAAGCTGGGACTTGGGGCAGGAGTGGGCATAGTTGTAGGGCAAGAATGGTAGTACAGAGATGTAGAATAGGAGGGCAGTGGACTTAGTCTTCCAGTTATTCATCCAAGGTAGGTTCTATATATATTTAAAAACACAACGGAAGAGTAAAAATGGTTCTGCACAATCATTAGACTGTGTAGAGTAAGCTTCAATTAAGACTGGGCTCTCTCAGTTGAGCATCTGGCTCTAGATTTCAGCTCAGGTCACGATCTTGGGGTCATGAAATCGAGCCCCGAGTCGGGCTCAGCGGGAGTCTGCTTGGGATTCTCTCTCCCCCTCTCCGTCTGCCCCCTGATTCTTGCTCTCATTGCCTGCTCTCTCTCTCTAAAATAAAGAAATCTTTAAAAAAGGAAAGAAAAAAAGAGACTAGGCTCTTTTTGGTAAACGGACTATAGCTGCCTCCCCTTTTATCCCTCCTAATGGCAGGGGTCCACATCCATATGGTACAAATGAGAAAATGGTAGTAACTGCTAGGAAGGTAAAAATTATGCTCTGTCTCCAAAATCCATGCAGTTTACCTCTTTAGAATACTGTCTCTAAGTCTAACCAATTTGCCCATCATATGAAATATCCACACAATAAACTATATATTCTTTTAAAACTTTGGTTTGCTAAGACTCTTCATGACATAAAACTGTTAGAATTTCCATAATAGAGAATCATTGCTTGAGGGTAAGCTCTGTCCAGTGCTAAGCATACTCGTGAACTTCAAAGGAAAAATGAAGAGTCTTCTAGGAGAAATTTTATCCCATGAAAAGGAGGAGTTAGGCCCAATGAATTCAACTCAATAACTAAATTTCAATCACCAGGATATATGTGAGTTCAATAAACACTGAAGGAAATTTCACAAAAAAACTGTGAAGCATTGGTATACAAAAAAGGCAGAACTAGTTCAGAACCAAAACAACCCAAAAAACCTCCCTAGTACAAAACAGCTTTCCACTTTTATTTTTTGTCTAAATTTAGTAACAAACTCTGTATTTCGGGAATTCTGCAGCAAAAATTCTTTGGAGATAGCTAAAGCCTATTTGTCTCAGCTAGGTAACCTCTAAGCTCCAAACATTTTAATGAGAAGCCTCCTACCATTTTAAAGCTCCCTGCTATTTACTGGGTATAGTCAAAAACATCTAAATGCTCTAATTTTTATTAAAGTTTTCAAGCTAAATCCTTTATACTTTTAAGAGTTACCTACTTACTGGGGTGCCTGGGTGGCTTAGCTGGTTAAGCGTCTGCCTTCAGCTCAGGTCATGATCCCAGGGGCCTGGGACTGAGTCCCGAGTCAGGTTCCCTGCTCTGCAGGGAGTCTGCTTCTCCCTCTGCCCCTCCCCCCACTTGTTCTCTCTCTCAAATAAATAAATCTTAAAAAAAAAAAGTTACCCACCTACTGAAAGTTATTAGACTCTGTTCTCACAGTAATGTTAGAGGGAAGAATACAGCCTTTACCAATTGCAACATTCAACAGAAATATAGTGAGGGCCAAAGAGTAGCCACAACAAAAGAGTAAAACTTAAGTGAACTTAATTTTAATATTTTACCTAACCCAACTGATTCAAAATATTATTTCAACATGTAATCAAAATTTAACAATTTCCAAATTCCTTCTTTCCCTCCTTTTTGGTACTAGGTCTTCAAAATTTGATGTGTATTTTACACTTACAGTACATCTCAATTCAAATGAGTCACATTTCCAGTGCTCAATAACCAAATGGGGCTCAAAGCTACCATACTGGACATAGCTTTAGAGGCCTAAACTATCCAAATAGTCCGTATGTTTCTAAGACTGGGACAGGGCAAAGAGCCTATATAGATCTGCTTAATTTGCAGTTAATAATAAACAAAAGCTTTCTGAATTTTATTCTTGGAATACCAGAATTTCTATATATGTTTGCCATATGCCAGATTCCTGAATTATAATAGCTGCATGTGAATATAAGCTAAAATGTTACAACCAAATTCCTTTACCAGAATTTCACTAATTTCTCAGTTTTTATTTATGTAAATATTACCTTTAGAAATGGAAAAGTAATATTATAATATTACCACCTTTCAAAAACAAACAAACCAAGGCATAAGCAGCTCTCCTTTCAGGATCCCTCTAATACCATAACAAGAGAAAGCTACTCTTCTCTCCTGTAAAACTTATACTGCTCATTGGTTTTGGCTGGAAAAAACTTAAAAGTCCATGTCAAGGTTGGTATCTGACAAAAACAAAGCTGCACCTGAAGACAGCTGACATATAAGTCACACAAACTTAATCATCAGGATCCTTCGTGTATGGTACTGCTCCATACCTCCAAGATATAATACCGAGATTACAGTTAATCTTATGGTAAAGACTATAAAAAAAAAAAAATCTAAAGGTAAAGACTATTCCCCTTTCATTCACTCAAAATTCTGCTATCACCAGAAAATGAAAAATGACCTTTCTCAATTTGCATTGGCCCATGAAGTGTTATTGGCAGTATTTCTGGAAAGAAACCCTATGATCTGTGTGTTAAAGCTTTTGGAGTAATGGTATTCTGTATGAATTACCTAAGGCTTTAAAAATACCATACTCCCCCAGAAAGTGGTGGGGAAGGAAAGGTCTTTAAAGGCTGATATACTATTTCAGGGAAATACCTCATTCTTTGAAGAGAAAATGCTTTAAGGCTCACATTTTGCACTTCACTGGGAGTTCTAGTACAGAATGAGGGTCTACCATGGAACACCTAAGTAAAGGGCCCACATCCTGAGAAAAACAGCTTACCTTACTGCCAAAGTAACAAAGACTGAAGTCTGAGATTCTCAGGGTGGGGGTGTTACTCCAATCTCTAGGTAAGGAGAGCTTTGGAGCCTTTGCTGTAATATACACCACTGAGATGCTATACAAATGGACAAGCCAGCTGTAGAGGGCTTTGGAGCCTCAGCATTTAAGGTCACCTGTATTTTAACAGCTACCAAATGTATTAGAAAACATGGCTGCAGTGGCGTACCTGGGTGGCTCAGTCAGTTAAGCGTCTGTCTGCCTCCCGCTCAGGTAGTGATCTTGCTCAGCAGGGAGTCTGCTTCTCCCTCTCCCCCCTCTGCCCTGCCCCCCCCATGCTCACTCTCTCACGTGCTCTCTCTCTCAGATAAATAAATACAATCTTTTAAACTTTTTTTTTTTTATGAGAGACAGAGAGAGAGGCAGAGGGAGAAGCAGGCTCCCAAGGAGCAGGGAGCCCAATGCGGGACTCGATCCCAGGACCCTGGGATCATGACCTGAGCCGAAGGCAGATGCTTAACCATCTGAGCCACCCAGGCGCCCAATAAATACAATCTTTTAAAAAAAAGAAAAAACATGGCTGCAGAAGAAACGATCATCCAGATGACTAAGAGTCAGAACCCAAAGCAACCAATGTGACCTTGATAGCTAATACAGATAAAGTGCTGCCTCTACCCTAAGCTTTTCTAAGAAGAAAGGAAGGTATCCTGAAAGTTCTGCGAGGATAGACTGCTGAAGGGCTCCAGAAGCTCTGAAGCCACTTGCCCTTTAATCTGGAGAGAATGATCAGTTGCAAAAGACTATAATTAAGAACTCACATGTAGTATT